GTTTTCCATGATATTACTGTTCTTAGGTATATTTTCTTTCATTATATTCCTCTACCAGATCTCTGTTGTCAGCACTTAGAGAAGTGAAATACATGTAGTGTTGTAAAATATAAGGCATATCAACGATGATAACAATAATAAAGTATATTTTAATAATAATCCGAACCCTATGAGCCTTCAGGTATTGGTATATTGTGACGATGCCAGTAATTTAACTAACTACACTGTAGTGTATCTTAGGTATATAATTTACTGACAGATGGAAATAAAACAAGTTTGTATTTTAAAGTATCAGCCATATATTTTTAACAAATTTATTTATTAGATATAAATATGTAATCAATATCGACTTTTTTATATTCAAATCTTAAAACAGAAGTGTCACTACTTAAATACATGGATAATCCATTACTGTTCAAGGTATCAATTTGTACTTCACGTGACGAGACAAGAAAAAACTTACCCGTATAACAAAGCAGGGAGTCGGGGTAACTTCAGATCTGAACAAAAATTGAAATTTCGAAAAAAAAAAAAATCGACTTCAAAATTTAAAGCTCATAAGGAATTAGGACTAACTAACTATAAACATAAAGGTTAATATTGAAATTACAACCAGTCAAGTGGTATCAACTCAGCTGATCGGACCTAATTGTTAACTTTTAATTCTGTGATAAACATTGAGATACTTGACTTTTGTTTTCCTTTAATCTAATATTAACATTTTGGATTTCATTTTATTTTGTTGATAGCTAATATAGAAAAAAATTGGTAGTTTTATAAGTAGGAATAGAAAATGTTCAAGAGAAGTTTTTCTACAGCAGTGCGTACTCTGAAGAATTATGATGATTCCATACTTCAAAAATATTATTCCCCTGAATTGATCAAATCTATCAAAATAAGTCAAGAATTGATACCATCAAATGTTAAATTTAAAGCTTCAAATAATGTGAAATTTAGTCCACCTTATTATGATGATTTCAGCAAGATTGATAGTTATTGGGATTATAAACCTGGTTTGCCAAATGCGCATACAAATGATGTAAGTGAAATTACTACATTTGATTGGGATGAGGTTCACCAACCTTTACCTGGTAATGGTAGAGTATTACCTCCAGGTGTATCTGAATCAAAGTTCTCGTCAGAAAATTCAGCTGAAAGTAGTGATTCGAACATGGGGGACTCAAAAATCTACGAAATAGCATCAGGTTTAAACAAACAATCCGGTTTGAATATGGATTACATTTCTAAGAAATTAATTATGAAGCCATTAGTAACGAAAAGAGTATCAAACCAAACCGCAAAAGGTAAAATTGCATCATTCTACGCTCTGGTTGTAGTTGGTGATCGCAATGGTATGGTTGGCCTAGGTGAAGGTAAATCAAGAGATGATATGTCAAAGGCAATTTTTAAAGCTCATTGGGATGCTATCCGTAACTTAAAGGAAATTCCAAGATATGAAAACAGAACCATTTACGGTGACATTGATCACAGATATCATGGTGTTAAATTATTCTTAAGAAGTGTTAGACCAGGTTTTGGTCTAAGAGTGAACCATATTATTTATGAAATCTGTCAATGTGCTGGTATTAAGGATTTAAGTGGTAAAGTCTACAAGTCTAGAAATGACATGAACGTTGCAAAGGGTACCGTAGAGGCATTAGTAAACTCTCAAAAGACTCTAGATGAAATCGCATTAGGTAGGGGTAAAAAAATTGCCGATGTGCGTAAGATTTACTATTCTAACTGAATCTTATTTAACAGGCATTAATGATAAACATTCTTTAAACTCAATTCAATATTATTATTCTCCCTTAATGTATATATAAAAATTAACATTGTGGATTTATATACTCTCTGTAAATAGTCAGAATTAAAATAAATATATATCATAGCATCATTTGGAATATACTATATATTTGATTTATATAAAATTGTATATATAAATACAGCATCGGTTACCATACATATAAAAATAAATTATAGAAAAAAAAATGCGCAAGCCCGGAATCGAACCGGGGGCCCAACGATGGCAACGTTGGATTTTACCACTAAACCACTTGCGCTTATTAATTTGTTGTATTCTGTCGTAAAGCGTTAGTTGATGCGTGTGATAATCTGAGAGATCCGGGTTACAATATAGCTAGTGTCACAATAAAGAGAATGAGACACAAGGAAAAGTATATAAATAGCTAAAGGTTGAGAACATGAATAAGTATATTAATTACACTTTATATAGATGGCATTTAGATATAAGAAGACAAGTTGTATACTGTGAACAAGTGACACACACTGCAAGGGTTTACATTACAACATATTCGAGGAGAGTAATAATTTAAATTCTGAGGTTTTTGATAAATAATGTGTATTGATTCTTGTAAAGCTTTGATTGAAGCTTCCATTTTTGGTTGTTTTCTTCTGGGTTTATAACTTATGAAAAGGGTATGTGGTTGTGTATCTTGTTAATCTTATTACTTAAGGTTTAACAAAATGTTTAATTGCTTGACAAATTGTTTAGTTGCTTCACAAAATAATTATTTTGTATTGTTTGATCCGGAATATTGAATATTAATGTATTAAGTATTTATCTAGGGAAACAAGCCGTAGAAGTCAATACTTAAGGTTACTAGTTATAAGCTCTATGAGGTTAATTAACTATTATAATAACTATACAGTAGTATTAAATATTGTAGAGAATTATGTTGTGGTTTTTCTACCGAATCGTTCATAGTAATAGATTCTTTATTTATTTCCAAGGACATTCTTAATAAGTTGATATTGATCCGGTGTATTAAAGTATAAAATATACACATGGGAATATAGTACATATGATAAGTGTCAATTAAGATCTTATCCTGCTTTATATACAATGTTTAGATATTCTTGATACGTCAGAGGTAAATACTTTCGTATTAGAAACATTTCTTTATCCTATATGAATAATGTCGTAATACGTCTATATCACGTGTTACCTCATAATTCTGACAGTAATTCTTGATCCCAGGTGGTAGGCAGATTCAAGGCTATGGGTGATCTAGTTGAATATCGTTTTTCGAAAATAAGGGTAATGGCGACGTTCTCCGATTTGATGTCCATATTGAGGCATAACTAGTATCACTTCACCTGTTTCTTCGTCACTGCGTGTCTCGATCTTATCATATGTACAATTAGCAAAAAGATCCCTGCAATGGCTATACATAATATCTGCGTCACAGTTGGCAATATTTGCTTAATTACCTTTAGCAGAGCTTCATTAAATGTAATACCAATGCCGAATACCGTCTTGATGCAGATTTAGCTACCCTATCGCAACGATCATTGCCAAACCAGTCTTTGCACTTCTGGCTTGCAGCAAATATGTCCTCGGTCACTTTGCTACCATAATAGACGAATGCTGCCCAGAGGGTAACACGCAACCCATTTTGTCCATAGCGAGTGACGTAATCCAATACATTCAGGACACACTTATTTAGAATATCCTCACCGCCATTGACTTCACACATGGTTAACTCTGCTAAAAGTAGAAAAATTGCGAGGGTGACTATAGCCTTTCTCATTTCTTTCTCTCTATTTTTTCATTTTCTATCTATATTATCTATATTATCTATATTATTTATATATATTACAATGAATGTCTAAACCTTAACTTAACTTAATTGGCCTTTTTATATAAGTCTGTATTTTCACGAGTTTACAATCAATTTCAATCGTGATATTTATTGGTGTGGTTCATTTTATGTTTCATGTTAAATAAGTTGGTTGCATCTTATTCGTTAGTTGGAGGCGGTGAGAGATAGGAACACACCATACCATGACAACGTGATGAAACGCGAAAATGAATTATTTTAATTTTTGAAAAATACGCGTAATTAAATTTCACAATGATATATTCTTTCGAGTAACTTCTTCTTATTTCAATTCATATATAAAAAGGCTTCCCAATCCAAATATTCATCAAAGCTCAGCAAAATTCTAATAACAGGTTTTGTTTGGTTTTTCATTTTACAAAATCTAATCTCAATTATAATATAATTCTTTAAATGACTGAATCAAAAACTAAAGCACAAAAGAATAAATAGCCCTTTAAAATTCCATTTACTTTCTGCCAATGCCAACTGCCCCAACCAAAAGGTTCTACCGAAGCTGCTGGGTTAAAAAACTAAGCTTTCTCAACCAAATGTAAATCCCACCTCGTGGCCCAAGGTTCTATTGAACACCAAATTTTTTTACTGTTCCAGATGGGAACCTAAGGAAAAATTTCCTCACAAATCGGTTGTGGCAAAAAAAAGGCATCCCA